ATCAATCACCGGCTTGTTCTTGTCTGTGCCTGCCGATATACCGGGAACGGACTGAACGGAGTACGCCGGATACAAGAAAATTTTCTCGAGCACAGACGAAAAAGCTCTCGATGGAAACCGATCGTTATTTTCTAAAGATATTTTTTATTGGACTCTAAAAGCGAATTGTTATGATGGAAAATATATGTATTAATATTTTGAATTTCTAATACAGAAAATAAATGTTTAGTAATTAAAAACTATTTTTAAGAACAAAAATTATTTTTGCTAGTTCTATAGACTGAAAAAATATATTTGCAAAGGTAACAATTTTTTTTTGTATGGCGACAAAACTACGTTAAAAAAGCATTTTATTTAGTTGCATGAATGTATTTTTTTAATTGTAGCTGAAAATTTATTTGTGGTAACAAGAATTTTCTCAACAAAAAACTTTTTAAATATAATTCTCTCAGTGTAGAAGTATGCAACATTCTTTTATTGACGCTCCGATAATCTGGTTGTCAGTAGCTAAGTTAACAGTATTTTTATTTACACATAGTCTGTGACGAGTATTATAGGATATCTTTTAAGAAACCAAAATTGTAGGAGAGATTAAAAAAGAATTGGGCAGTAGAAGAATCGATAATTGGAACAATTTATTGAGGCTAAGATACTTCTGGGTGAATATAACCACAAAAGATCGGAAGCCTGCATCTGCTTGAGCAAGAACAGGCTACTTATTGTAACAGGGATCTTTATTGGGCATTTACGACTAAAAGGACACCTTAGTAAACTGGGAGTAGTGGAAGATAGTGAGTGAAGATTCTGACTGAATGTGTAGCACTCCAGAATCCAAAGACACTATATCTAGGAGGATATCAAATAGAAGAGTGAGATTTACCTAACTTAAAGCCCCCTCCAAATCCTACACTTTCTTTAGAAGATAGGATTGGAAGAGTCGTTATAGGCATCAAGATATTTCCTACAATCTAAAAGCGTTACTGTAATTTTTTGTTTATGAATATTTAAGAGAGAGTTTATGAATATTAAATATTGCAATTTCTTTATATAAGTTATTGCTAGAATAAATTTTGTTCAACTGCAATAATTAAACGATTACTCAACTAATTCAGTTGTCCAAAAATTGAAGTTAACTTATTAAATACTAATTAATTAAAATTATTTCCATCACTGCCCTCGGACATTATCGATAAAGTCTATCTTAATTTAAGTATAAATGGACTTAGGCCAATTTCAAAATAGACGGCTCATATATAATTTTTATGTCAGGGCTTTCTAAATATCCTTTTAAAAGTCTAAAATGCGACCTCTTAGCTTTTTAGTTAAATGTAACATATACAAATCCCACCTTAAGTGTCGGTCTAGTGTTAATTTTAAATATTTTTTCGAAATTGTTTCCGGAATTTGGACATTTTGATCAATTTTTAATGATCCTAAATTGGGTGTAGTTTATGAGTGTACAAGGTAAATGGTAAGTACTTTGTTTTTTCCACATTAAGTGTCAATGTATTATATTTAAACCACTTTAAGATGTTATTAAAGTCAGATTGTGTTTTTAGTTTTAAGTTCTTTTAAGTGTCATCACTGTGTAATATTACAGTATCATATGCGAAGCTTAGTATAGTGCTTTGTGAATTTTGTAGCAGTAAGTTGTTGATATATATTGTAAATAATACAGGTCCAAGTACTGTACCTTGAGGTACTCCGTAGGTTACGGTTTGTTTTCTTTTAGATATGTAGGTTTTTAACAAATCATATGTATTTCTGCGAATTCCAAAATTGTCGAATTGATCAAGCAGTTTAATGTGGCATACCGTATCAAAAACTTTTCAAAAATCGATAAAAATACTTAGAGTAGGTGTGTTTGAATTTAGTGATTTATAGATATATTATGTAAGTTTGTATATTGCGTCTTTCGTCGATCTTCCATCTCTAAAACCATACTGATGCTTTGATAATATTTTATAATTTTGTGTATGTTTGCTATCTCCAAGTAGAATTTTTATTTATATGCATATCAGAATAAAAATAAATTCCATCCACCCTTTGGCCCACGCTACGCCACTGTTAGAGAAGAAGAACTTTGACAGTGTCAGTATTACTATACCATGGAGGTATAATACTAATGGAGATTCCATGAGGCAATTGTTTTGCATATGATACGTTTTATTAAAAATTACCCCACTGGGCGTGGCTTAAATGGTTGACTAAGCAGGGTCGTATTTAAATATAATTAAAGTCCGTATGCAGAATTACAACTTTTAAATGACTTACTTACCTAAGATTTGTTTCAACATGATCGATTCGAAATTAATTTGATGACATTGCGCAATTATGACTTCTACACTATTTACTATTATTTATTAAGCGACCAAGCCAATGCCAAGACCATAAAAGAGATTAATATTATTATATTGTTCTGTCTTCGCCAAAATCAACGTTCGAATAACACTGTGCATCAGATTTGTTAATCTCTTTGTGCTTTAAAACTAAAACCCGAACTACGATTTTTTGTTCAAGGACTCTCTTGTCTTGATCAAAGCTGCCAATGTCAAAATCTGACAATGAGGAGAATTATGACATCAAATTATCAAACCAAAAACCAAACCACTACGTGAATTGTGAATAAATATATTTCAGTAAAAATACAGCCGAGTTTGTAGAAAGGACAATTAATTACTTTTAAATGTAAAACATGTAGGTCTTTCTGCTGCAGATGACATACATTAAAAATATGACCCGCTACAGTCAAAAGTTTAAAAAGACCAAAACTTCAGCTAGGTATGACTTTATGGTTAAAAGTAGATGAAAGAAAACCATGATCAAAACTACTCTGTCAAAACTAATCGGAACTAAAAGACTCAGATAATAGTTGTTGGTTTTATTTATATTTGAAATAATTAATTATATAGGGTAGGTACATATATTACTAAAATTACAAATATTACTAAAATTACAAGCAAGTACTTACTAAAGATTTCTATAATTGGTACCTATGTATAATAAACAACAATCTCACAGATACACAGCATACAACTATACAAATGGAATTATAGAGATAATTTATTTTAAAAATAGGCATTCAGTTGCGATTTGTGATTACAAAAAGAAAACTTTAACCACTTTTTCTGATCAGTAATGTTAGTGTTATAGTGAAAAAGTTTCTAGAAACTGGTGTTTTAAATCCTAATAAATCATTGTGAATTTCCAAGAAAAGTGCATGATGAAAATTGTTTTGCCCAAAATTTTGAATGTCATGTCATTTCAATAGAAACCCTGTGGCTGTGGATAACATTTGACACAAAATCTTATCCTAAAAATAACTGTATGGTTGCATTGGAGGAATAATTTCTTCATTGGTACTTTTTTAGGGTGCGAGGATGACTTGACATTACGAAATTTAAACCTTTGTTATAAGTTGTCTTTTTGCTTTAATTTCTGATACACCTGTATTGTACATACTTGAAAAATATAAAATTGTTCAAGTGGGAAGTTTATATACAAGGTGTCTCATTGAGAAAGGGATACAGAACAACTGAAGAGTCTGATTAAAAATAAGACTATGCTTAAAATGCGAATATTCTTCATTTTAATTTTGAAGTTTCTTATAAGTTCCCAACAAAAGTACCTATACGATTTACTTAAAAAACATCAAAAAATATATAATTATAGTTCAAATAAGTGTAACGTATCTTATGACACCAAAAACTTTTGCCAAATTTGGTAAAATTATAGGTAACTCTTCAGTTTTTCTGTGTCCTATTCTTAATAAGACACTACAATAAAATTTTTATTATTTAAAAAAATATTTATTGACCTTTAAACAACACTATTTTGTTGTTTTGATGTCTTATGCTAGCAGCTTTATTACCTCTAGTTTTAGTGAGATGTGTTAGTCGGATACTAACAAATTTATCAACTATGCACTTGATTAATAATATTCTATGATTATCCAACACAAACTGGTCCAAACTGTGCTGCATAATATTCGAAAAGACATTAGAATTTATGAATTCTTTTAAAACTAATGTGCTGATGATATCAACTGATATTTTTTTCTTAGTCTTTCATAATTTTTAATATTTTTTCACATTTTAAACAAATGTTTATTACATTTTCCGATGGATATTGCAAACCATTTTTATTGTTTTTATTGTAAATAAAGTGTATACTAACTAAACATTCATTTATTGTCGGAACGGCATTCTTCTTCAATCTGACCCTAAACTCATTCTTATCAAAAAATTCTTCCTTGAAGTGAATAGAGCACAACATGCTATTCGGTTTAGGCTCAAATTGGTCTTTTCCCACAAATTTAGACCAAATTTTGAAATATTGTGGGTCTTTTGGAAACCTATAATAAAAAAAAGTTAAGCATTCTAAAAAAAATTCTAAGTACACTCCTTAATTAATTTTGGCACACTTAGTCATGATTTTTATACAAATTAATTAAAAAAAAAAAAACACTTATTAAGATAGAAATAACGTCGAAATATTTAAATTTGAACAAAGTTCTGACAGCTCTTTGACAACTATGACATGACCACTAAGAGAGGGGGAAGGGGTGTCGTTTTGTTTGGCATTTCATCTCTATAGTATTCAACCTCATTGCACTATACCAAGTAAACAATATTTGATTTTGATAGCCAACAGTGATTTAAAAAGAAAGTGAAAGGCATATATAGTTTTTTAATAACCGACATTTTTTTATATTGGTGTCTTCGGCTTTAACAATTCGACACATTAATTGTGTTGATTATAGAGTACTACTGCTCTAATATTCCATAATGTTGGTCTTTACCTTGTTACCCCTTCCCAGCGCCATCTTAGGAACAGCAGCATTTATTAGATAAAATCCCGGCTAACGGTAGAATTTGAATTTTGGACGCTTTGATCGGGAAGTCTAGACTCTAATCATTAAACACAAAATTTAAATAATTACAAAAACGCAAATTTAATATTTTATTTTTTATTAATTTAATAATCCTATCTACAACAGTCTAAAATTTAATGATAGTAACCGGGTCTGTAGGAACCATCATCATACAATCTCTCGCTGTGGTCATGTACATAACCACCTTCCAATCCGGAACCAGATGGGGTCAATACACCGTAAGGAGTAGCGCTCAATGGCACAGCTTGTAGTTCAGGTCTGTAGGAACCATCGTCGTAAAGTTTGTCGAGATTGTCGTGGACGTACTCGCCTTCAAGTCCTGAACCGGATGGTACCAAACCGTAAGGAGATGGGCTCAATGGAATTGCGCGAGCTTGGGGTCTGTAAGAACCGTCGTCGTATAGTTTTTCGGTGTTGTCTGGGATATATTGACCTTCTAGACCGTGACCTGCAGGTACCACAGCGGCATATGATAGGGGAACAGCATATGGAGAAGAGACTAATCCGGGTGTAGCGTAACCATGAACAGTGGAGATGAATCCAGCGTTAGCGGTGGCTACAGCCAGAGCAAAAACTACCATCTAAAAAAAATATATATTTATAAAGATTATAGATTATTTGCTGTTACGCTTTATACTCCAAGTATATTAATAATAAAGGTGACATTCTATGAAATCAATTTAGAAATACAAAATTAGTAAAATATGCTTAATGACGAAAGAAAAAAATGAGAAACTCGCGAAAATAGCCAATAAGCTAAGGATTAGCTAGAAAACCAAATAATAAATACTATAGAAAAAACTATTGAGTAACATCAAATAAATCGGAATACAGCCATTGTTTTGAAAATTCAAATACCTACGGCAAAGAAAAGCAATAAGAATACAATAAAAATGACCACTACATGAGGTTTTGCACATATTTGACAGTTTAAATAGCAAAAAGCCTCCAGGCCACAATGAAATAATAGCAGAATTGATATTATTTGGTAGTATTTAGAAATAGATTTGGCGAATTAGAAGTAATAAAAGTGGAATAAAAATAAGTAACAAAATTTTTTATAGAGATAGAACTTCTGCACAAAAATATTCACAATAATAAAAAAAATACCAAAAGGACAACAAACAATTAAGAAATACAATAATAAAGAATTTTTTAAACAAAGAGAGGCAAACATAGACAAAATATATATTTAAAAAAATATCAGGCAAATCGTATTCTTAGATTTCAAACAGCTACAAAATGTAATTAAAAATCAACCGCTATTAAAATTCAAAAACAATAAAAATACTAAATAACATTATCAGGTCAATAAACACTATCTTAACTTGAACAGAATACACCAAAAAATATATAGAAGAATAGCAAATGATTGTTTCTAATTGAAGAAGTTAAAAATTAAGAAGAAAATGGTAATATTTTTACAATATATAATATATATTGTTTATATGCCCAAATAGAAATATTAATAAGTATTATATTTTAGATAGCCAAACTTGAAAAAACTTGGGTCGTCAGTATAAAATGAGTGATCATATAAAAACAAAGTGTTTGATAAAGCTTTAAGACATTTCATTATCCTACAAAACAATTGATTTTCAGAACAATGGATTGGAAAAAGAGAACAAATATATTTCAAAATAATTTAGGAATTAGAACAAATTTCGTATTTTGAAAAATGATGTTGATCTCACAGTTGACTCAATGAAGATAAAATATTGTCTAACGAATAAAAATATTTCTCTAGTTTAATATGAAATAATTTGTTTTTCAAAAACTTTACTCGATAATTTTTTATTGTTAAACAAATATTTATATATTTTCTAGATTCCAAGAAAAGCTCAAAATAATAATTTTAATATTTCATAGTTCAAAATGTAATGTATGAGTTTTCATGTTACAAATTAAAAATTAATTGGATCGAGTATACATTTACATAAATTTTAAAATACTTACGAATGCGTTCATTTTTGTGGAACCTGTTTGATGTCGAAACCCGTAGAACTGATATCAAACCATGTAGATACTTCTGATTTTATATGCCAATTTCAACCTTGTCCACACCCGAATTTTGTATATCACACACAAGTTTTACACCGAGGCCAATATATTAGGAAGAAGAGGAGGAATTGTTTTAAACAGGCTGTACTTCTATAATTAAAAAGGGGTTCGTAAACTTTACACAATAATTTGGAAAATACCAAATACGAGTACTGTTAGAAGTACGCAACATTCGTTTATTCGATATTCTGTTAGTATCTAAATTAATAGTATTTTCATTCACACATTAGTCTTATTTATTATTATTATTATTTCAAAAAAGCAACATTTTTAATAATAATCCAAATTTAAAATTTTTTGGACAAAGCCTATAAATAGAAATGAGAGTGTTAAAGGGGTTAGAGATGCATCAAATCAAACTAGTTTGATTTGACAAGTTAAGTTTGATTTGACTTGATAAATCAAGTTTTTTTTATAAAAGAATTTGATTTAAAAATCAATTCGGGAGCTTGATTTAAAATCAAACTTTTTCAAACTGTTTGAAATAGTTTGAAATACGAAAAGTGTACGTACCGGCACCGGCCGTAAAGCTTTTTAAATTTTTA